GAGTACTAGGTTTCCGTCTTCATATTTGTTGGTGGAAACCCGTCGTCTTGACCTCACTAGCTGTGTGGACACAATAGTTTTCTGTGTGGGGGAACAACATCACTCGTAATCTCTTTCCTTCTCATAATTACAAAAATAGTCTGCTAAATGTTCTATTCTGTGGATGCTTTATATGTAAATGCAAATGCTACTCTCGATTTTGTTTTACATTAAACATTAAACCTCTCCCTCCTGTGTTGACAGATATGGCTCAATGTAGCTGGATTTCAAAATACCCTTGTGCTGAAGATGCATCACCTGGTGGTCTGGCCCTCTGAGCTTCCTCATTGTTGTGGTTGATACCAGGGTGTCAGTGGCATTTGGGTCATGTTTGGCAATGCTGTTCGTCTTTGACATCCCTGAGACCCCCTGCTTCTGTCGTAGTCATGGAAACCTCCCCCGGGGTAAATGCATGGAGGGCCGTTGTTTGGTGCATGTGGTGGGTATTTAATTTGTTGTTGTGGACAATCTCTAGCCCAATGGCCCAGTTGATCGCATATGTAGCATCCCTCAAACCGGAGAACTTTTCCTCTGCTTCTGCTTCCTCGGAAACCTCCTGGTTGTTGGTTCTGGATCTGACTCTCTGGCACTATCTGAGATTTAACAGTTTGAGGTGTCTGCCCTGCATTCTTTGGTTCTTCCTGAGCTTGAATTGTTGGAGGTATCTGCCCTGCCTTCTCTGGAAGTTTCCCCTCCCTTCTCCTTGTCTTGTTCCTACAAGCTACGGTGTCTTTCTCAGCTACCTGTATCTTCAGAAGTTTTAGTTGTAATGTTTGAATTTCTTCGTCTTTTTCCCTCTGGGTTGCTTGGTATTTCATATCGTGGTGAATGAGATGTAGTCCCCATTCTTCAATGGGTTTAGTGTCTAATCCCACCACGTTATCCAGGCTTGCCTGCACTGATGGGGGAAGGGTTTTAACGACAGCTTTCTTCCACCACATTTCAATAGGTGGAGATAGATCATGTCGTTCTCCAGTGTAGTCCTCCCACACTCCTTCACATCTCTTCAAGAAGGCATGCATTTCTTCCTCCGTGCCTTTCCTCAGGCTATTGAGGGCATCTAAACTGCATGTTGTCGGGTAGATGTGACGAATAGCAGCCCAATAATTCGACCTGATGTAGTTGAATGAAGTGTCATCTGAGTCGTGCGTGCAATTGGCCTCAGAATCTATTGCTTTTGCCTCAAGTCGTCCTTCAATCCATCCAAGCAGGGCCCTCATGTCCCCCAAGCACAGGTGGTCTTGGGCTGTGTATCTCTCCAGATCATTCACCCACTTCTGACCTCCTTTGATGAGTGGAGGTAGCTTTGCTACTAATGCTTCCATGTCTCTGTGAGTCCATGATTGGTATTTCAATCCTCCTTCTCCAGCCGCTATCACCGGTAGCATGAGTTTTGAGCAGTTGAATCTTCCAGCTTCAGTTACTGTTGTTGTGTCTGGAGAACCTTCGCCTTCTCTTCTCTTGAGTTGTGCTTCCATTCTTTTGCTGAGTTCTTCAATTTTTCTGTTGAGCTCCTCTTCCATTCTTCTGCCGAGTTCGTCCAATCTTCTGTTGAGCTCACCAGATAGGAGTCTTACCTCATACTCCAAGTCTTTGACACGTGTAGCTGTGGGGAGACCGTTCAACTCCAATACTCCTCCTAAAGCACCAAAAGTTGGGGCTTGTATTGAGGGTTGAAAGAAAAGGTGTTCTTCTGTCATGTAGGGAGGAGGCGCATCAGTCAAGCATGGATGGAGCTTTGAAGTTTGGATAAGTGGAGCTTCTTCTGTCTTGTCTTTCTTATCTTCCTTTGTCGTGAGCTCTGCTTCTTGAACCACATACATGCTGTTCGTTGATCCTTGGCTGACATATTTTAGATGGCGTACCAGACTTGTAACTCTAGATTTTCTTTTTTCAGCTCTCCTCATAGCGCTTCTAGCAGGTCCATACAAAGGGGGTTGTCCGGCTTTGATCCATGCTTGTTGCTGTTGCAGGTATTCTCCATTCTCATAGTCAATTACAGCTGTTCTATGTGCTTTCGTTGGTGCTGGTTGATCATCAGCTGGATACAGTCCTCTCGTTTGCCATTGTTCCAACAGTTTCTCCATTTGGCTCCATGTCTTTCTTCTAAGATTTGGAGCTGTTATAGCATCTGATCTGATTTTTATCCTTCCCTGATATCTGCAGTTGAGCCTGGCTCTGCGTCTAGTCCCAGCTTAGTTTGTTTTGGTGACATGTTAACTATTTATGAAGTTATCAAAGATGAAGCACTATTCCTCTGACTAGTACCTTTGTATTCCTTCAAAAATATCCTATGTCATCAGAATTGTTAAATATGGGTTTGTTTGTTTGTTTTTTTAAAGTTTAAAGATTTTTTATTAATTTTTTTTTTTTTAAAGTTTAATATTTTTTAATTAGGATTTTATTTTTTATTTTTTAATAAAGTAAGTTAAAAGATAAAAATTATGCAACTTTTAAAATCAGAAATGTTAAAAAAAAAAAATTGTACAGTGTATAGTTTTGACTTTGAAATATGAAAATTAGAAATCTGGTGAAAATCTACTGTGTTCCACTTTCCGAAGTGTTTGGAATTATGTAAATGTCATTACTTGTGTTAGCTTCAATACATTGGTGTTTGAATATTCTACAGTCTAGTTTGAAAGTCTATTATGTAAAGTTTCTCATCTTTTAATTAGAAACCACTTTGCAATTCTATCCCGGCGATTTGCGCATGTGTTCATTCATAACGCTTAAAATCAAGCTTCAAAATGTTAAAGTATCCTTGTAATAATTCTGTATTACCAGCAGAGTGCGCTGTTGTAATTTCCAGCTCAATCCACTAGGGATAGCTGTTGCAAAACTGACCTCTTTTTAACAAGAAGAAGCTTATTTCCTTAAAAATGGGAAGAAAATTAGAATATGGTTAACCCTTGTGTGGTGTTCGGGTCAAATTGACCCGATTTCCATTTTCAATGAATACAAAAAAATATAAGGATATTTTCGTTCAACCTGAAACGCAATGGCCGGGGCTTATTTATTGTGAAGGACATGTGGAATTGTTTTAATTTGTTTCCACTTGTGAAAAAATGCCTACCCGCATTTATGTCCTTCATAAGAGGTTCGGGTCAATCTGACCCGGATACAATACCAGGACAGACAGACAGAAACACACACACAGAAACACACAAACTAAAGACACACACACACACACATGCGGGTTTTTGTGAACTAAAAGGACACTTTGACCCAAACACGTTTTTTCCTTCATTAGAAGGACACCCCTTTCCACTAGCTTTACAAAGATGTTTTGAATATCAAAACATCTAGTTTGAGCCATACAACACAAATCCCACTTCAAATGTCCAATACACATATCACAACTCAAAATACAACAACCTGACACCATGCTTAATTATGAGGACAGCAGATAATGAGCTGCATAAGCCCCGCCCATGACACAATGGTTATTTGTGAGGACAGTAGCTATACAACACACAAACATGTCACTGAAGTGTATTAAAGGGACAAACATGATTAAATGGAACATAACTTTACACAGACAAGTGTTGGATTGTGCATTACAAGAACACGCCTTTTATAAACGGACAAAATGTATACAGCATAGGAATACCTGATTTGTGATGTAATATTTTAATAGACAATATAGTGCACCATAGATATATAGCTTAAAAGTATGTTAATGTGTTTGGTTATTGCTTGCCTCCTGTTTGCAATCTGTTGTTTTAATGCAAATGTAGAACCACATTCTAATACTCTCCAGAGGTATACTACAAGCAGGTCTTCCGAGACGAATTAAATCCATTTGCAAGTAAATGCTTATATTTGCAGCACTGCTAATTGCAATTACATCATCGATATGAAAAGAACCGATAACTATTTTATAGCAAAGTGACCGAACTGGTTTATCACTAATACAAAATGCTATTTGCCCTACAAGACTGCTCATCTACTGGAGCATTACCTTTTAAAAGCTGATAGAAAAGGACACATGGCACCTTGCACAGTGAACAATGAGCCAAGTTTAATGGTTATTTTCACGTAACATTTTATCACATGAAAATTGAGCTAAGACTAAATCTTTAGTATTTGAAACATATAACTCTCCTTCCAGCATTACCTTGGTACGACAGAGGATTAGGGCCACACAAAAGAAAAGATAGAAGAATAAAGTCATAATTACGAGATTAAAGTCGCTATGTTCGGAGAATAAAGATGAAATTATCCCGGGGGCTGAGGGGTCGTTGCAGCAGATCTTCAAGAAAGTTATATTGACAGATTGGAACTGGAACGGATCAATAACTCATAAACAAAACGTTGCTAAAACACAAACTAACTACCGTAATAAGGTAAACAACTATCCACAATCCAATTTCATCAAAACAACCTCACACCCGCCGCCCTCTGAGCTGGACACATCACACAGGTGTCTGTCTGCAGCCGAAGGAGAGAGGAGGGGTCAGGGACCGTCTACAAAGTGCAACACTGAAAAAAATACTGCAAATAAACTACTAAAACCACCTATTTTCGCAAAGTTGCATGTGTAGTTTAAGCAACAGTATATTATTGTGTGATTTAAAATGTGATGTTTTATAGCTTTATAACAGAGGAGTTATTGAGTATATCTTTATTCAGCGTTGCACTTCGGAGACGGTCCCTGACCCCTCCTCTCTCCTCCAGCTGCAGACAGAGGACACCTGTGTGATGTGTCCAGCTCAGAGGGCGGCGGGTGTGAAGTTATTTTGATGAAATTGGATTGTGGATAGTTGTTTACATTATTACGGTAGTTGGTTTCTGTTTTAGCAACGTTTTGTTTATGAGTGTTTGATCCGTGAAGTTCCAATCCTTCAATATAACTATCTGCTGCAACGACCCCTCAGCCCCCGGAATGATTTCATCTTTATTCTCCTAACATAACAGCTTTAATATCGTAATTATCCTTATAATAAAACATTGCTCCTACATGTAACATAATAATGAAGTTGAACTGTGAACTGTCCTCACTGCATGTTCCATTAAATGCCATCATCTTTTTTGTAGCAGTGCTTTTTTCTTCCGAGTCGTGCCTTGGCTCCTGACGAAGTCTCTAATATTTTGCAAAGAGCGACCAGCCAGAATAGGATGCTCTGCAGCTTTGCACTGTCTGCATTCTATCATCGTGGCCACTTTCCCCTTGGTGTGCATTAAAGTGTCTCAAAACTGCTGCCACCTCTTTTGGAGACCACTTCTGTTTTTGCATCCTCCTGGGATTCCTCTCCACAGCATTTTCAAGAGACTCTACAAACAGAAAAAGAGATCAGTCAATGGTAACCACGTCAACACGTATTTTATTTAAGATGTATTATGTTACTTACTAAAACTATAACTACAAATGGGTTTGGGATGAAGCCATCGAACTGTCTTTCCGGCTTTCCTTCTTCCAATTTATGATATTTTGCTGGTTCAAATGCTAATACTTGCTCTTTGCCATATTTAAACATCTGTAAGTCTAACTGTGCAGAGCTTGCAGGAATGATTCTTCAACCGGTTACGTTTTTTTGTTTTACTTAAGCAGCTTAAAGTTATTATTTGACATAAAAATAGTACTTACAGGATCAAGTTTTCTGAGACTTGTATTTCGTCCTCACAATGTTTTTAAATGACTTAACAGGAAAAAGACGCATGTAACAATATAGTTTCAGGAAACTATATTCTGTTAAGTTTTGGTCATGATAAAGAGTCAGTCATCATTGTAAAATTAACCCCGTCGAGATGCAGGACTAAGACGCATGATAGGAACTAATTTCTCAATCATTAATGCTTTTGCTGTAAGCACTATCCATCAAGTCTGAGCAAACCAGAAGCACACAGTCCTCATGGAGAAGATGACATTACATTTTGTGTCAAGCTATTTATAAAACAAGTCTTAATGTAGTGAAATGGACAACATATAAAAGTCTTAATAACTCACCTGTGTAATGTCATCATAGTGGGACTCAGATGTCATGGCAGCATCTTCATGCAGAGTCTCTGCCTCAGTGGAAATCTTGTGGATGAAGAAGGACCAAGTTGAATCACTAGACATCCAGAGTAGTACACAAATGCTTTACTGGCTCTTGTTGTGAGTTAACAACACAATCAGGTAGAAAGATACTGATTATAGTATTTAATATCTAAAGAGTATGATCATTCAGTTTAACATTAAGAAGAAAAACAGCATTGACACACAGTCCTCTTAGTGTCTAAAGCGGTCCAGTAGAGTGATACACAGGACCTGTGTATCAAACCTCACAATTCAAATCCAGTCTTCATGGTTTATAACTGGAAATAAATATGTAACTAATACCAACATTAGCCGCGTTCACACCAAGTACTTTGCCGTACTTAGTGCCGGCACTTAGTACAGATCGCGTTCACACCGGAATAAGTTCCCTGAGGGAAGATTACGCAAATGAGCCGCTGACGTCACTTCTTCTTCTTCTGCTTTGGGTTTACTGGCAGGCCGCAAACAACTTCACGGCGTATACTGCCACCCGAAGTCCCCGGCCGGAAGTCCTCTGAGTTGGGGAAGGCTTCAGTAGAAGCTGCTGGGACCCGTTTCAAGTGGGTGTGTGAGTGAAGAAAAAATAATTGAAAAAAAACTTTTTTTGAAGGCCGGGATTTCTAATGCTGCGCGCGCAGTCACCGTTTGCTGCGTCCTGGGTAGGAAGCGTCTTGTCATGACAACGCCCAATGTCATGATAACGCGCAGCCTTAGTTATCAGTATTTACCGCTCATTCATTCAAATTGTAAACATGGCGAAACGCAGGTATGATTCTGAATATATTAAGTATGGATTTTCATGAGTTCTTTCAAAGACGACTCACAGAGCTGAGGACATCGCAACAGTGTTAGAAACAAGAGCAGGCCCTCCGTGCATCTTACCTCGTAGCTCAGCGTATTGCAAAGAGCAAAAAGCCCCACACCATTGCAGAGGACCTTATTTTACCTGCCGCCATCGGCATGGTCAGAGAGCTGCTGGATCAATCTGCGGCGGATAAACTGAAAACCATACCACTGTCAAACGATACAATCAGTAGGCGGATTGAAGACATGTCCGATGACATTCAACAACAGACCACAGCTCGCATCAAGGCAAGTGCTCACTATGCATTACAGGTGGACGAGTCCACAGACATCGCGAGCCATGCTATTTTACTTGTTTATGTGAGGCATGTGTGGGAAGGGGACTTACAGGAGCAATTTCTACTACAACTGCGGAGGACATCTTTAGTTCTGTGGACTTGTACTTGGGTTCGGTGGGCCTAAACTGGGATCTGTGTGTCGGAATCACAACTGATGGCGCTGCCTCCATGACTGGAAAACATTCAGGGGTGGTGAAGATAATACTATAAAAAGCCCCTAATGCGACTTGGCAACACTGTTTTTTGCATCGAGAGGCTTTAGCAGCAAAGGACATGGTGCCAGTGCTTCATGAAACATTGAAGGATGTCGTCAAAGCGGTGAACCACATTAGACGCAGCGCAAAGAGCAGCCGGTGCTTTCAAAAGCTGTGCCAAGACCTGGGCAGTGAGCACATACAGGTACTGTATCATGCAGAAGTTTGCTGGCTTTCGAGGGGAAAGGTACTCTCACGCTTCTACGAGCTTAGAACAGAAATTGCAGCCTTCTTTGCGCAGAACAGATCGCCTCTTGCTCACATGTTTAGTGATGATGTATGACTCGCACGAGTAGCTTACCTTGCTGATGTGTTTGAACATTTAAACACATTAAATGTTTCAATGCAAGGGAGGGGACACAATGTGTTCGAACAATCGGAGAAAATTGAGGCGTTCAAAAAAAAGATCGCCTTGTGGGCAAATCATGTTTCCAGGGAGAGGCTGGACATGTTTCCAAATGCGTGTCATGAGGCAAAGGAACTGGACACTGCAGGCAAAAATGCCCTGAATGAAACTATCAGGGCACATCTAAGCAAACTGCAGGATCGGTTCAACGATTACTTCCCTGAGAAACACGGGGATGATGACTGGGTACGGGATCCTTTCGGAGTCGAGATGGAAAGCGTCACGTTGCCGAGCAACAAAGAAAGTCAGCTGGTGGAGCTGTCATGTGATCGGTCGCTGAAAAAAAAATTCACTGAGGTAACCCTGCCCCAGTTCTGGTGCAGTGCTGTGATTACTGAGTATGCATCCCTCGCCACAAATGCAATCAAAATCATCCTGCCATTCAGCACTACCTATCTCTGTGAAAGTGGCTTCTCAGCTCTGGTCCAGCTGAAGACAAAGCAGAGGAACAAATTGAACATTGAGCATGACCTCAGAGTTGCTTTGTCTACCATCACCCCAGACTTTGAGACCCTTGTCAGGAACAAAAAGCATCCCCAGCTGTCCCACTAGTTCCCCCCAAACTAAGCTGTGTTACAGTAAGTTCAGTAAATGCTGACACTAAATATATGTCACAATACAATGTTGTTCAGAATGTTTCCCAGATAAGCTCTTCTACAGTTCAATGTTGGTTCTTGAAACTTTAATAACATTATCCTTTTACACTTGTTTAAAAAGCATGCCTGTATATGTACTTTTTACTATTATTCGTTATAATCTCTCTGTCTGTGCTGTTATTTATTATTTATCATCATAACTATTTGTTTATGGGATATTTGCACTCTTTATTTTGTTGTTTATTTCTTGACTGTAAGTACTGTTACTGTTTTAATTGTATTTATTTTGTATTCTAAATCTGGTTTGAATGTATATTTTTTGTTTGTTGGGGGGGATAATAATACAACATACACACAGTTCTGTATTCTTCTCATGCCTTCTCAAAAGCATGCCTGTTATTGAATATAAGTCTGTGTTTTTATGTAATACAACACAAGTGTGCCTTTTTATTTATTACATACATACAATTTTGACTCTAAAAACTTGATGACCATCACCAATTTAAACTTGTTTAAAAAGCATACTGTAGTTCTGGGATATAATCTCCCTTGCAATGTTGAAGATGTGGTTGTGTTCCCATGGACTACATTTATTGAACATTTATTCACTGTTCTTCACTTTTATATGAATATTAATATTGTATATTACTGCACTACTTTTTGTGAATGAAATTTGTGTGGTTGAAAATGGTGGGTCGCGACTCATTGACGAAGGAAAAAGTGGGTCCCGAGGCCAAACCAGTTGAGAACCACTGATGTAGACCATTCGGCCACACTAGACGACAGAATACGGCACTAAACGACTACGATAACGATAACGGGTCCCAAGGTGGATAGAACGGCATACGCAACGCTCTGGGGGGTCCAACGGCTCCGTGTGTTGTAGGAGCAAACACAGTAGTGGGGGCTTAAAGCCCACCTCCGCTCCGCGCCGTCCGTTTGATGAGCCTGGTCTGGTTTAATAAAATAAGTTCAAAACACCGGCATAAAAGTTATAATAATAATCTGATTTTAATGGTAAAAAACACAATACGAAATACAGAGTGCCCTGTAACAGAGCACTCCGGGCTCCCCGCTCTACTGCCGTGCGATACAGATATCGGGACCAGCCAGTCAGAAACAGGGGGCATTTTGCATGAAGAAACAACAGTATAAACAGCTAAAGAGGTTTATCGAGCAATTGCACAGCTAGCTGATAATAAAGCATGCGGCTCTGACCGAGGGGGGGACACTCAGTCCCTGATGGGGGACTGCTCCTCTGCTCGCCGGGGGACCTGAGTGGGGGTGTCGAGGGGACGGCTGTGGGCCCCGATGTTCCTTGGGCCTGTGGAGAAGCGACTCCTCTGTACGGAGCCAACCTGTCTCTGTGGAGCACAACTTTTCTCCCATTTGGTGGCAGCTGCACCCTGTAGACCACTTCCCCCACCCTCTCCAGTACTCTGCAGGGGCCAACCCACTGACTGTCCAGTTTTGGGCACCGGCCTTTCTTCCGAATGAAGAATAGCTCAGCTTTACAGTGGGGTTCCTGATAAGAAAATCAGTATGGAGGTTGATCATGGAGTCTGTCAGGATCATTCTCTGCTGCTTGATCTTGTTCCTGGTGATTGTGTCAGTCTTATCAGTTGTCACACGTGCAGAAGAAATCCTGAACAGTCTGTGTGATACCTTGTAGGAATGTTGGCTTTTTTGTTGGCTGTTCCTTTCCTCTCATTAGCTTGTAAGTTAGCCCAAACTGCTGGATTTGGTAAAGAAGACGGTACTTTTTTAGGATCTTGCCTGATGACACACTTAGTGCTGGTTTCTGGCGCCGTGGCCCAGGAGGTTGTTTGTTTTTCTTCAGCTCTCTTCTGATGATGTTGTGGAATAGAAGAGCTTTTTTGATCTTTGGATTCCTTATGTTGCTTCCTGATAGCATCTTCTTTGTTTCTGTCCCTGGAGAGTCCAGTGGTGTTTTAACTGTAGCCTTTTTTGTGCGCAATATTGTTTTTCTCAATTTGTTTCGTTGCTTTGTTACATTCTTAAGCTTCTCTTTCAACATTTTTATTTCTCTTGAATGTCTTTTTCGTGTTTTACTTCTTTCCTTTATTTCCCTTTCCTGTCTGCGAGACTCTCTGGCATTGTATTCTAGAATATCTTGATCTTGCGCACTATCTGGGGGGGTGTCTGCCTCCTACACTGCACCTTCGCAGGACCTTTTCTGTCTGGACCTTTTCTGTGCCTCTCTCCAATACTTTCTCAGATTCCTCTGTGCCCTGTCTCCCATCTTGTCTATCTGTATTACTTTGTTGTCTTAAACTCTCCTCTTCCACCTCTGTCTGTCCTCTACGGAGCCCTGCAGGGTTGATAGAGAGAAAAATAAATAAAACGTGGCCACGTTTTACTTTCTCGTTCGCACGAGATACCTTCTCGTGCGAACGCTTTAGTAACTCGTGCGCACGCTTTAGTAACTCGTGCGCACGAGTTACTAAAGCGTGCGCACGAGTTACTAAAGCGTGCGCACGAGTTAATAAAGCGTGCGCACGAGTTACTAAAGCGTGCGCACGAGTTAATAAAGCATGCGCACGAGTTAATATAGCGTGGCCTTGTTTTGTGTGTGTGTGTGTGT